GACTTTCAGAACGGGATACACAAAACAAACTACAAATCTCTAACAGAGATTCAAAGATCCCTCACAGGGACAACAAGAGTAACACGAGCTTAGCAAGGCTAACAAAGGTTAACAGAGCTTAGCAAAGCTAACCAAGGTTAACAGAGCTTAGCAAAGCTAACCAAGGTTAACAGAGCTTAGCAAAGCTAACCAAGGTTAACAGAGCCATCAGAGCAAGCTTACAGCAGTGAAACACCTAACAAAGTGGCAAGCTGTCTAAACAAAAGGAAACAGCCGCGCCTTCTCCCAGGATGTCCTTGGTTCTTAAAGGGAGGCCTCAACAGTGATTGGTGGAGCCGGCAATTGATGACCCAATCACGGTAGGCCTCAGGATGTAGGACAGGACAGCACTCACTTCCAGATGGAGTCAATCTAATTAGCCACTGAAAACAACAAACAAACACAGAAAAGGCCACTGGCCGTAACACCTCCCCCCTTAAAATCCTAAACGAAATGGTTTGGAAGGAACATTCCCAACCGAAGGTAACTATATAAGCTACACTCTAGATAAAGCATCTGCTAAGAAGTTGTCTGCCCCTTTCTTATGTTTGATTTCAAGATGGTAATCTTGTACCAGTAAAGCCCACCGCATGAGTCTCTGATTGTGGTTGTACATGCGAGAAAGAAAAACAAGGGGGTTGTGGTCGGTGTACACTATGATTGGCACAGGACTAGACCCTAGGTAAACCTCAAAGTGTTGAAGTGCAAGTAGCAAGGCCAGAGTTTCTTTCTCAATGATGGAGTAATTGAGTTGGCTGGGTGTAAATTTACGGGAAAAATAACAGACGGGATGATCAGCTCCGTCCCCACCTTCCTGTAACAGTACAGCACCAGCTCCAACAGCACTAGCATCCACTTCAAGTTTGAAAGCCTTTGACATGTCTGGAGAAGAGAGGACAGGTGCATATGACAAAGATTTTATACTTTCAAAAGCATGCTGACACTCAGGAGTCCAGACAAAGTCTACTTTTGGGCTCAGCAAAGTAGTGAGAGGGTGGGCTACTGTCGAAAAATTTTGACAGAAGTTTCGGTAATAACTGGCCATGCCAAGGAAACGACGAAGGGCTTTTCTGGTGTTAGGGACAGGAAACTCAACGATGGCTTTTATCTTGGCTTCTACAGGGCATACTTGTCCCTGGCCGACCTGTCTACCTAGGTAAGTGACAGTTGCTTTACCAAAGTCACACTTTGCGAGGTTTACAGTAAGCGAAGCTGCAGCAAGCCGTGTGAACACATCTCTTAAGATTTTTATGTGTTCTTCCCAGGTAGAAGTATACACAATGAGATCATCAAGATATGCATTAGAGTTTGGTAACCCAGACAGAACAGTGTTAACCAACCGTTGAAAGGTGGCCGGGGCATTACACATGCCAAACGCCATGACGGTATATTGCAAAAACTGGTCTGGTGTCACAAAGGCAGAGATCTCTGATGCACGATCCGTTAATGGTACCTGCCAGTATCCTTTTAACAGGTCCAGTTTACTTACAAAATTGGCATTGCCAATGGTATCAACACAATCCTCTATACGGGGAAGTGGATAGGAATCCATAACAGTAACTGAATTTACCTTCCGGAAG